TTTAAAACAAACAGTAAATCGTACATTAATATTCTTATAACTTGATAGGATTTTATTTTTATGCAACAAGAATATTTGAATCCTTTCAATCCAATGTGACAAATTCTTCTTTACGATTTTTTTGTAATTCAATATTTTTTTTGTTTTATTCAAGCAGAATATTTGAATCCCTTCCCTCAAATGTGTTACAAATCCTTCTGTGGAAAATCTTTCGCCATTTTCTGCCTCCCCAATTCGCAAAAGGTATGGCAAAATTTTCTGTAGAAAATCTTTCTCCACGATTAGCATCTCCCGTTGTTCCGTAAAATTTTCTTTTTGACATTTGTTTATGTAGAAAAACTAAAAGAAATCATACTTTGTGACTTCTTACAAGTTGAGATTTTTTTTATTCAAGCAAACTCTTCGAATCCTTTCTGTCCAATGGTGTTACAAATCCTTGCGTAGAAAATCTTTTGCCATTTTTTGTCTTTCCTTTAATTTTCTATATATTTAGTTTTCTTCGTCATTTATTTTTTTTAAATTGAATACAACAATAATAATTTAGTTTTCTTCGTCATTTTTTTCCAGTACTTTATTATTTAATTGTACATTTAGAAATATATTAATGATTTAATACTTTACTATTGATTGAAAAAATAAAATCATACCATCGATATTTATTTTTTAATACTTTACTGGTATATTTTCTATATGTAAATGATTTGTATCTACGTATTCATAAAATAATTACTTTATTTTATCAGTGGATTTTTAATTTATTAGATTTATAAATTTATTTAAAAATCAACCGATAATATAAAATTAAACTCTTCGAGTTAAAATTAATTTCGTATAACAATAGGATTATATTATTATAAGAGCATGAAAAAGTCACCTATCTATCTATATATTAAAAGAGAATGTTATTCTTTGACAAGTTTGCTGACATGTCACTCTCTCATTCAATTTCAAGTTTGCGTTCACATTAGAAACCATTTAAAATCTTTCTTGCTTTAGTAAATTTGCACAATTCAAAATTTAAACTTTATTAGGTGGGAAATGAGTTCAGCATTAATTGTTGGCAGACATTTATATTAATATCCCACTACTTTTTTAAAATTTGAATTTTAAATTTGATATAGTGGGAATAGGAAAAGAGTTGAACATTTTTTTGGGGCAAACACATCATTTAAAATCCCATTACTTTCTACATTGGAATTGGAAAGTGTATTATTGGAATTTGAAAGTGTATTATTATATTTTAAAAAAAAATTAAGAAAGTCTTTAATTGCGTGTATAAATAGGATCATACATAGCTCTCTCTTTCAATTTTTCATCTTTTAGTAACTTTTCAAATTTAAATATTTAGCTTGATAGGTGGGAAATTGTCAAATTCGAATTTGAAACTTGATAGATATTATAAGAACCTACCAGAAACATTGGAATTTTAAAAGTGCCTATAAGTTTTAATACAAAAACAAATGTATTGCATCTCTTGAGCGCATGTTAATTGAATTGATCTTACGAGTGCAGGTTAATTAAAGCATTCATGCATATAAGCACATACTTGAAGTAGTTGCATCTTTTACTATCAACTATTTGATTATATTTGAAAATGAAATAACAATACCTCATTTTCAATGCTAGGCAGTCATCCTCATTTGCACAATTTGAAATTTAAACTTCATTAGGTGGGAAGTGAGTTCGGCATTAATTGTTGACAGACATTTGTATTAATATCTCACTATTTTTTTAAAATTTTAATTTTAATCTTGATATAGGTGGGAAATTTCGAATTTTAAACTTGATATAGGTAGAAAAAGAGTTTAACAATTTTTTGTAGCAGACAACTGTACTAATATTCCACCACTTTTTAAAAATTCAAATTTTAAACTTGATATAAGTGGGGAAATACTTCAACATTTTTTAGTGGTAGACAGCTGTATTAATATCTCACTACTTTCAAAAAATTAATATGCTTTAAATGTGAATAAACTATTGAAATTTCAAAAACATCTCATAATAAAGGAAAATAACTTTTTAAATTGTGCAAATAACCTAAAACTTATGTTTGTTTATTATTTATGTTTCTTTATATTTTCATCTTCTCGAGCTTTACTTCTATAATATTTAAGTTAAAATTTGGAAATATTAATTCTATTGTTTAGTTTCAAATAAGAAAAAGTATAAAAAATACATATTAAATAAATTAGTTGCAGACATATGCATTAATATCCCACTTCTTTTTTAAATTTTGAAATTTGAAGTTGATATAGGTAGGAAAAGAATTTAACATCTTTTAATGAGAGACATCTGTATTAAATTTTCACTATTTTTTACAAGAAAATTGTTAACCCTCATTCTAAAAAACATTGAATTCTTTTTTCCGTATTTATCGAAAAACCAAAAGATCCAAAAAAAAGAGTTCAACATTAATTAGTGACAGACAGGTTCATTAATATCCCACTTTTTTTTTTTAAATTTCGAAATTTGAAGTTGATATAAGTGGGAAAAGAATTTAACATCTTTTAGTGGGAGACAATTGTATTAAATTTCCTCTATTTTCTACATGGAAATTGTTAACACTCATTTTAAAAAATATTAAATACTTTTTACCATATTTATCGAAATACCAAAAGACTCATAGAAAAGAGATCAGCATTAATTAGTGGCAGATATGTGCATTAATATCTCACTTCTTTGAAGAGGCAAAGAAGGTCATTAGTCGTGTCATTAAAGTAAATGCATTAAAAAAACGAGTTGATTAAAAAATGATGATAGTAAATTTCTTTTGGAATTTTAATGCTATTAATGATAGCCTTTTGTAACATTTGAAATTTTAGTTTTTGATTTTTTTCAAAAAAAACCTAAACAAACCAATTGAATTTTATTTGAAATCCATTAATGTAGGTCATTCATTCGTGCCATTCAAGTAATTAAATGCATTAAAAATGAGGTGATTAAAAAATAAGGATAGCCAAAAACGTTTGAAATTTTAATGCTATTAATGATGGCCTTCTGTATCATTGGATTTTTAATTTTTAATTTTTTTTAAAAAAACCTAAACAAACAAATAGAAAATTTATTATTATGCCTATTAGCATTAATTAGGGCAAGACATGTTCATTAATATCCCACTTCTTTTTGAAATTTCGAAATTTGAAGTTGATATAGGTAGAAAAAGTATTTAACATCTTTTAGTGAGAGACAACTGTATTAAATTTTTACTATTTTCTATATGGGAATTATTAACCCTCATTCTAAAAAACATTGAATGTTTTTTTTCATATTTATCGAAAAACCAAAAGACCCAAAGAAAAGAGTTCAACATTAATTAGTGGCAGAAAGGTTCATTAATATCCCACTTTTTTTTTAAATTTCAAAATTTGAAGTTAATATAGGTGGAAAAAGAATTTAACATCTTTTAGTGGAAAACAACTATATTAAATTTTCTCTATTTTCTACCTGGGAATTGTTAACTCTCATTTTAAAAAACATTGAATATTTTTTACCATATTTATCGAAAAACCAAAAGACCCATAGAAAAGAGATCAGCATTACCATATTTCTCAAGTAATAGGTTTACATTTTTGTTTTTTTTTTCCTACATGTCTATACCTCCACCATCGAAGATACATCCAACATCAAATTTACTTAAAAAGAATTTCTTCGGCTTGCAAAAAATGATTACGTGTATGAAAATGCTTCGATAGACAAGTTTTAATTGGGTCCATTGGAATGGATTACCAATTAAAAAAAATTATTCATTAAATACTGGATAATTGTGAAAGGAACTTAAGAAATAAAGCAAAAGAGATTTTATTATTTATATTATTATTAAAATAAAGTTTTTATACAAAATGTGGATACTTAATTTTTGACTATAAAAGGATGAATACCTCGAGTGTGATGTGATAAATATATATATTTTTACTATAATTCTATACAATCGCTTGGTGATAGTAAAAATGGTACATAACTCTGTTTTTCCAATTCGATAAGTTTTTTTTTGACAAACCGATCATTTTTTTTCTGATAGTATTACTTTTGGGTGTTAACATATTAGTATAACTTATTTAATGAGTTTTTGCAGAGTAGACACAAGGAACGGAAATCACATAGCAAATGACATATTTGGTAAGTGTTGATCTTTTAACTCTATATGTGCTTGGTGTTATTGTTAGTTTGAGTGATATACATTATTCTTTTTATCTTCCTTCCTGATGTTAACATGGAGTATTATGGTGTTTTAGTATGCAAAAATAATTGATTCATCTGAATAATAGATCTTTGTTTATGGTTAATATTTGCAAAGTTCTGTGTCATTATCGTAGTTTTTTCATCTGAAATATAGAACAAGATAGCAATACAATTTTTTTTATTGTGTCATTGCGATTAACCACTACCACGTACGGACGACAAATTTTTTTATCTTTTTCTCCGTGCACCGGTAAAGAGATAATTAAAGAGAGAGAGAGTGCTAGATGGAAATTGAGGGGTGCCATTTTATACAAGGGGGCGTTTGGTACGCGGAATTTTGAGGAATTCCTGGTAAACTGAATTTTTTTAAATTTTAAATTTTCACGAATGCAAAAATCATATTTTTGAAAATCGAGATTCCGGACAAATAAAAATTTCTCGTGTAGGAAACGCCCCGAAGGTTTTGCAGTCATATCATTTGGCCTTACGCTCTGTTTTATTGTTCTTGTCCAAAAAGGATTATTGTGCACCTGCACTGCAGTTTAGCAAGTCAACTGTTTCCTTTCATCTCATCCAAGTCCAGATCGCCATGTATCTATCCACATCAAGCCATAAATTATATGATGTATGGTTGAGTTTCAGTGGAAGAAACACATTCACTTCAGATCTCCGCGATCGTTTTCTAGATTCCGGAACTAATGTTTTTATGGATGATGATGACGCGTTTCGACATCGACATATGATTTCAACCTTTCTATCGCCAGCAGTCCAAGACTCTTAAGATTTATGTTATTATTTTCTCAATAAATTATGCAGATTCACTACTGTGTCTGCAAAAATTTGAGGAAATAATGGAGCGTCGCAGAATCGGAATTGGGATGGTCCTGGCAGTGTTCTATGGTGTAGATCCCTTACATGTAGGTAGTCAAACAGGTGAGTTTGGAGAAGCATTTGATAAACTTTTGAACAGAATTTCTCCGGAGGAAGACCAAGTGCAGAGATGGAGGATGGCGCTTCGTGACGCTAGCGGCATTCCAGGGTTAGTTGTCGAACATTCTAGTTAATTTAACAGTCAGTGCTTCGAAATTCTTCAATCTTCATTGCATTTCTTATTTTATTTTATTTATTTTTTTATAATTAATGTTCATTGCATTTTAATCCTTGTTTAGCTAATTTCTCATTTTTATTTAACTATAACTATTTAACTTATAAGAAAGAGAAATTAACTAATCTTCCACTTTTTATTGAGCTGGATTGCAATTATTAATTAATTCCGTGATTCGGACTATAATTTAATATTCATTCTAAATATAATTTGCTTGTTCATTTATTGTAGACTTTCGTCCCTCCCAAAGTGAGGGACACAGGTTGCAATTCTCCCTCTTCAATTAGTAATGTATAGCTCCTTAGTTGAAATCGAAAGAAACTTGGGTAATGTTGTGCTATATTGGCATATTTAAATTTATCTGGTATTGACTCAAATTTAATATTTGTCTATCTTGACACAATTTTTTTAAAAAAATTGTCTATAAGTAGTGTGTATGTAAGTTGCCTAAGAGATTGGAAGACTTTGTAGCTTGAGGGCACATGTTGCTTGCGTTGCCACATAAGATAGGCTGGGCGGTAGGTACCTTCTGTAGCCAGTTAGCATTGTAATTGTTTGTAGAATTGCATAAAAGACTCTATATAATATGTTTTTGGGCATCTCAGTAACACAATACTTCATTTTGGTTCACTCAGTTTCCTTCCCCTCTTCTTTCTCTATTTCTTTAGGGTTGAACCCTAACAATTGGTGTTTTCATTCCTTTGAATTCACCATGGGAGTTAAGGAATTGTCAGAGGAGTTAATTTCATTTCAACAACGTGTAGATTCCAAGCTGGATGAGCTTTGGAATCAAGTCGTTGATACAAGATCGCAGATGGCTCTGTTGATGACCCAGATGCAACAACTTCAAAAAGTTGTGCTGGCTGGGAATAACCATAGCAAAGAACGTTCTCGTTCCAGTCCTCAGGGGGGCATGTCCTCGTCATCTTAGAACCCATTACCACAGAATGTATCAAACCAACGTATGTTGCTCAAAGGTGTTCGTATGGAGATACCTCCTTTCAATGGGAGTGACCCAAATATTTGGATCTTCAAGGCTGAGTTGTCTTTCGACCTTCAAAGGATTCCAGAGGAAACCAAGGTCTCATTGGCGGGTCTTCGTATGGAGGGTATGACTTCAGCGTGGTTCCAATGGACTTTCAGCAGTGGGACCATCAATTCTTGGAGGGATTTCACGGTGGCTTTAAGATAGAGGTTTGGTGCATCAAGTTATAAGAGTTTGAAGGGTGCTTTGTTGAAGTTAACCCAAACCTCTTTGTTGAGGGAATATATTCAAAGCTTTGAGAGCTTAGTGAATCAAGTTCCCGGCCTCGATGACGACTTGTTGAATTTTTTCGTTTCCGGATTACAATCTGAATTGCGTAGCACTGTGCAACTCAGAGAACCCATTTCATTTCATCAATCTATTCTCCTTGCATTGGCCTATGATGACCATTTTGGCAAACTTAAGGAGTCATTTCATCCTTCCCAGAAAAGGTATGCCTCAAAAGCGTCTGCACGGCTGCACCTGTTGATCCAATTCTTAACCCACTTCCCATGTCAACGAGCAATGCACAACAACATATGCGCTTCCTGCTCCTGCCAACGTGAAGAAGCTTTCTCATGCTGAGATGCAGAAAAAATGAGAATTGGGCCTCTATTATTATTGTGATGATAAATGGACAATGAAGCACAGGTGCAAAAATAAATTGTTACTGTTAGTTGGTGATGTGGAGGACAATGATCTTGAAAGCGAGTAGCAACAGATTTTATGACAAGCAGAATTTAGTAACAAGGAGTCCAAAGACGCTTCATTACATGCACTTCATGTTAATGACCAATCCAGATCCTTGTCGTTCACGACCCAGCTTAAAGATAGGGTCGTTTCCATCTTGGTAGACTCTGGTAGTACGCATAACTTCATCCAGAGGCTGCTGGCGCTTGAACTTGGTTTGTCCATGGTTCATGTTCACAGAATTCAGGTATTTTTGGGTAATGGGGAATTCTTGATTTCTGATAAAAAATGTTTGGCAGTTCCTATTGTGATACAAGGCCATTCCTTCCTTTCTTGATCTGTGGGTAATAGACCTTGCTGATCTTAGCATCATCCTTGGGATGCCTTGGTTGGGATTGTTGGGTCGTGTCACCCATGATTATTCTCTATTGTCCATGGAGTTCATTTGGGAAGGTAAACAAGTTTTCTTGAGGGGCCTACAACATGATGGCTGTCATGGTCAAGTAGCAACAACATGTCATTCTTTACAGGTGCAACAACATGATGCAGTATAAGGGAGTTCAAAAAATCATAAAGATGTTCTTGCAGAGTTGTCAGCATTGTAAGATTCGGTCCATCCTTCCTTGTGTCAATTATTGGTTCATTTCCAGCACATTTTTTCTATTCCTCGAGGGCTACCACCCTTTAGGGGTCGTGACCATGCCATCCACCTCAAAGATAGCATAGCGCCCATTAATGTGAAGCCTTACCGCTATGCATATCATCAGAAGTCTGAGATTGATAAGCAAGTGTCAGACTTGTTACAAGCTGGTTTTATTCAGCACTCAAAGAGCCCATTCTCTTCGCCAGTGCTGTTAGTTCGCAAGCAAGACAACTCGTGGTGCTTATGTATCAACTACAGGGCATTGAACTCAGTCACTATTAAAGATCGATTTCTAATTCCCACGATCGATGAACTTTTGGATGAATTGGGCAATTTCCACATTTTCTCCAAGCTTGATCTTAGAGGCGGATACCATCAATTCCGTATGCAACCTTCTGATATACCCAAGACAGCCTTCAGGACACATGACGTGCACTACAAATTTCTTGTCATGCCCTTTAGCTTAACGAACGCGCCTGCTATCTTTCAAGCGATCATGAACCAGCTTTTCAAGCCATATCTTCGCAGGTTTATTATAGTCTTTTTTTTATGATATTCTTATATTTAGCAAATCTGTGGAGGAGCATGTTCAACATTTAGAGTTGGTTCTTGATTGTTTTTTGCGTAATAGATTCTTTGTTAAAATCAGTAAATGTGCCTTTGGGATTGAAACCAAAAATGGTGTTTTGGCAGATCCAAAAAAATTTCAGCCATGGTTCAGTGGCCCATTCCTAAGAACTTGAAGCAGTTGAGAGGGTTCTTAGGTCTTACAGGTTACTATAGGCGTTTCTTAGGAATTACGCCACACTAGCCTTGCCTCAAACTGAGTTGCTCAAGGGTTCCATGGAGTTTTCTTGGTCAAAGGAAGCAGATGAAGCACTTTTGGTCCTTAAGGATGCAATGGCCACCACTCCTGTGTTGAAGTTGCCCAATTTCGAAGAGCCTTTTACTCTGGAAACTGACGCCTCTAGCTCTGGAGTTGGGGCTGTCCTTTTGCAAGGTGATCATCAAGTTGGGGTATCGTTTAGCAAACACCTCCACTTACATTTAGGAGTTGTATGCCATCACAGCCGCTGTGAAGCGTTGGCGACAATACTTGCTTGGCTCACAGTTGTGATACGTACCGACCACAAAAGCATTAGGGAATTGTTGACACAAATCATACATACGCCGGAGCAGCAAAAATACTTGTGCAAGTTAATGGATATTCATTCAGAATTGAATACAAGTCGGGTTGTACAAATTTAGTTGCTGATGCATTATCACGCGTCCATGAGGATAGCTCTTTAAATACTTTATTTTCGGAACCTCAGTTTGATATGTTATCAGCTATAAAACATCAAAACAGTTCCGATCATTTTTTGGTGCAGCTTCATCAGAAGTTGCGAGATCAACCTGCTGTTCCAGATATAGTGAATAAGGATGGTATTTTGTTCCACAAACAGAGGTATTTGCTGAGTACAAACTCTTCTCTAATTCCGACCTTAATCACGGAAGCCCATTGTTCTTTCAGTGGTGGGCATGCAGGGGTTTTGAGAACATATCTACGGTTATCAGCTTTTTTTTTTTTTGGAGCTCAATGCGTAAGGATGTCCACGAGTTTGTCAACAAATGTTTGACTTGTCAGCAGGTCAAGTATGAAACTTCTAAGTTAACAGGGTTGTTGCAGCCATTACCTACACCAGATGGTATTTTTGAAGATCTTTCAATGGACTTCATTGTTGGATTACCTGCATCAAAAGGGTATACCACAATAGTTGTCATCATTGATAGGTTATCTAAGTATGCGTATTTTGGTTGTTTGGCTTCTTCCTACACTATAGCTTCGGTAGCCAATCTGTTTTGTCATATAGTAGTTCAAAATCATGGCTTCCCTTGCCCTATCCTTACTGTAAGAGATCCCATATTTGTCAGCAAATTTTGGTCTCACATCTTTAAGTCGAGTGGAACAAAGTTGAAGACTTCCTCTTTATACCATCCGCAATCTGATGGTCTCACTGAAGTCACAAATAAATATGTTGAACAATACATACGCTGCTTTTGTTTTGAGCAACCAAGACGGTGGTTTGAATGTCTGTCGACGGTTCACTCAGCTACGGGAATGTCTCCTTACCAAGGAGTGTTTGGGAAGCTTCCAATGGTGGTACCTTTTTATCCAAGGGGTTTGGTGAAGGTTGAATCCTTGGATAAGCTACTTCAACAACGTAATGAGTCTCTAGCTCTTCTGAAAGTCAATTTACAGCATGCCCAAAACAGAATGAAGACTCAGTACGACAAACATCACAAGGACCGTTCCTTTCTTGTTGGAGAAAGAGTTTGAGTGCGTCTTCAACCATATAGGCAGATCAGTGTAGAACGGAGAGCAAACCATAAGCTTAGCAAGAGATTCTTTGGCCCCTTTTTGATTTCTAAAAAGCTGGGTCCGGCGGCTTATGAGTTACAATTACCCGAGGGAGGTCAAATCCATGCCGTTTTTCATGTGTCTAAGATAAAACCATTTGTAGCTTCTGAAGCTGATACTGTCTCTTCTAATTCCCTACCCGCTGATTCTGTGGATAATATGCATGTTCAGCATCCTGTAGCTGTGTTAGATGTTCGTTCAGTGCTGGTTCGAGGCAATCCGTGAATTGCTGGCGTAGTGGTCACATACTTCTGCCGAGGACGCTTGGGAGAGAGAGGGGGGAATTGTTACACTGCGTAGTGGCTCAACTCATGTACGTAAGTTGCCTAAGAGATTGGAAGACTTTGTAGCTTGAGGGTACGTGTTAGTTGTGTTGCCACATAAGATAGGCTAGGCGGTTACTATACACGGGGGTACCTTCTGTAGTCAGTTAGCATTGTAATTGTTTGTAGAATTGCATAAAAGACTCTGTGTAATATGTTTTTAGGCATCTGAATAACACAATTGTGGCGGAGCCACATGTACTATGGGTTTGGCTTCGGGTCCAGACTAAATTTTAACAAATTGTATTTATTATATATAATTATATAATTAATTATAATTTGACTCGGATAAAATTGTAATTTGGCCCTATATAAAACTTAAAATATTTTGGTGAAAGATTTGAGTAAGTTGCATTAGGTTATATGTTTAATTTCCACTTGTATAAAAAAGTAAATTATTTTTAGTAAAATTAAAAAATATTTAATAAAATTATAACTCTTCTTAGTGCTCTTGCTCAGATGTTCTGTATTTAATATAATTTAAATATATTATGATATGAACTAATTAAAATTAAGAAAAATAAATACACATATAATTTTTTTGACCCGGACTCAAATTGAAGGCGGCTCTGCCACTGATACTTCATTTTGGTTTTCCTTCCCCACTTCTTTCTCTCTTTCTTTAGGGTTGAACCCTAACATAGTGTTACTTGCATCAATTTTGTTAGACTCAAAACACTTTTGTATAATATGAGTTTCTTATTAGTAACTTTTTTTTTTCTTCAATGTTCCTAATTTTGTACAAACCACTGCGTACGCGCATGTTGAATGATCATTTTTTTGCTAGTACAAATATGTGATATGATAGATGACACATGATATTTCGAATCAAAACTTTTGTTTTTTGTTTTGTTGTTGGTTCACTTGGAAAAATAATGATTTTTGCATATATTTATATTCACATGCTTTTTTACATGTAAGAAACTATAATAGTTTTTACCTGTTGGAATAATGATTTTTACATGCTTTTGTATTCAATGCAATCTTTTATTTTAAAATAGTTGAGATTTCGCACATGCAATCATATATGTGCAACTATCGTTTTTTGGGTAAAAACCCACCTCTACTTTTGATTGGTGCACGTGTTGGAGAATGGTTATACAATGATAATGTTCTTTATGTTGGGTTCAGATTTAATGGAAGTAAGAGTGAAGATATCGGGAATCTAGTTGGAGTTGTTACTCGTCTGCGGGATAAGATATCCTTGTTCGGCTTTGCTGAGCAATCAGTGGGAGTAGAATCTCGTGTACAAGAAGTGATTCAACTATTGAACAGCAAAAAATCAGAACATCCTCTAGTTCTAGGGATATGGGGGATAGGAGGGATTGGTAAAACAACAGTTGCCAAAGCCATCTATAAACAAATCGGTCTCAATTTTGATGATAGCAGGTTCATCCTAAATGTTAGATCAGGTTGGGAACAAAATAATGGCCAAGCTCCTTTACAAGAATGGCCTCTTTCTGGTATCTACAAAAAGACAAAAATAAAGATGGGTACAATTGAAGCAGAAATAGTGATATTAAAGGAAAACATTCGCCCAAAAAAATTACTTCTTGTGCTTGACGATGTGAATAAATTTGACCAATTGAAAGCTTTGTGTGGAAGTCGTGAATGGTTTGGTCCTGGAAGTGTAATAATCATCACAACAAGATATGAACATCTACTTCTTCAACTTGGAGTTGACCATGCACATAGAATGAAAGAAATGGACAAAAATGAATCTCTTGAGCTTTTTAGTTGGCATGCGTTCAAACAAGCAAGTCCTACTAAACGTTTTGAGGGCCTTTCTAATGTTATAGTTGAATATTCTGGGGGATTCATGCTAGTTCTTCAAGTCCTTGGGTCCTTTTTATTTTCTAAAGGAAAAAAGGAGTGGAATAGTGCATTGGAAAAACTCAAAATGATTCCCCACGATGATGTATTAAGCAAACTCAAAATTAGTTTTGATGATTTAAGGGATGAAGTAAAAAAAATATTCCTTGATATAGCTCTTTTCTTTATTGGGATGGTTCAAGGTGATGTAGTGAAGATATTAAATGACTCTGGGCTTTCTGCAAAATTTGGAATTAGTGTCCTCGTCCAAAAAGTCCTTGTAACTGTTGACCAGGAGTACAGGCTTGGAATGCATGATATGCTACGAGACATGGCAAGAGAAATTATTAAGAAGGAATCACGGATTCAGCCTGAGGTACGTAGTAGGATCTAGTATTGTGAGGATGTGCTTGACTTATTATTGATATATGGTTTCTGTTTCTAAAATATATAACACCAAAGGAAGCCAAGTGAACATTAGTGTGTGGGTTGTTGACATTTGGTTAATAATTATCACAAAAAACTTTGAAAGCTAATTTTGTTGTGTATTGAATATTAGTAACAAATTGTGGGTCTTAAAGCACATAGCTGATGTTAGCCAAATTGTGCATTGAAAATTGGTTGTATATCTAAGCTATGAATTTGTATTTTTTGTTTCAGCCAAGGATATTCGAATATGATGTGTTCTTGAGTTTCAGAGGCAAAGACACTCGTGCATCATTCACTTCTCATCTATGTACCTCTCTTCAAAATGCCGCAATTCGTACTTTTAGGGACGATGATGAGATTCGAAGGGGAGATCAGATCAAAATCTCATTGTGGCAAGCAATCAGAATGTCTAAAATTATTGTCATTGTTTTGTCTAGAAATTATGCTAATTCAAGATGGTGTATGGAAGAGTTAGAGTTCATAATGGAAAATTGCAGAACCAAGGGTCAGGTGGTTGTACCTGTGTTCTACGGCGTAGATCCCTCAGAAGTACGTAATCTGACAGGTGAGTTTGGTGAAGCTTTTAAAGATCTTAAAAGTAGAATCTCAATGGATGCAAACCGGGAGAAGAATTGGAGGAAAGTGCTCCTTGAAGTTGGTGGCATCGCAGGATTTGTCGTCATAGATTCCAGGTGATTTAATTTCTTCATTTAATTTTTGAATATTGTTTGTTGGTGTTGATGCTTTGAAATTCTTCATTATATATATATATATATATATATATATATATATATATATATATATAGGGTTTAGCGGATGTACAGAAAATGCACTTATGGATTGGTGCAGTAATATAAAACTATGTCGTTTTATAGTGTAACATAATTAAATATAGAGAATCATAACCATACAAAGACAGAAATAAATATAAAATATTAAATATGAGGAATCATAACCATTCAAAGTTAGAATTAAATATAATATTTCAATTTTCTATAATTAATTTTGAACTTGAACTTCCTTTATCCGAACCAAAACAACATAGTTTTTAGGTGACTGCACCAATGCTTATATGCAGTCACATTACAAATTATTTTGCTATATATATATATATATATATATATATATATATATATATATATATATATATATATGAAAAAAGTGTATATCATTTTAAAGGATATAAAATCGTGTTATTTTAAATGAGAGAAAAAGATAGATAAAGGGAAGAGAGAGTAGACAAAAAAATAAAGGTGTGGGTCTCACCTCTTTGTGAGAGTAAAATGAAATAAGTTGTATCATTTTAAATGACAAATATTTTTTCCCTATATATATATATAAGCAGGATCCTTTGATACCGGTGTCAAATTTTGAAATTTGATATCAAATTCTAACTGTTGATTTTCGCTTCCGTCAATTAACGGTTATCATTTATTGGGAATCAAACTTATTAGTTAATATTTAATTTCTAATAAATGATAACCGTTTATTGGCAAAAATCTACAATTAAGATTTGATGTCAAATTTTAAAGTTTGACACCAGTATCAAATGATCATATCCCTTATATATATATATATATGGGCAAATACATTTCTCATGTTATGGAGAAGAGGGGAGTTTCCTACACACTCAAATTCATGGTGGGGCCCACACATAAAAAAAATTATTGCACACAAAATGAACTCTCACTAACATAAGAAGAGAGCTCTCCTATCACATGAGAATTCTTTTTCCATATATATATATATATATATATATATAGGGATTTACATTTCTGCAGCTCTTGTACGTGCAGCAATCAAATATTTGCTATATATATATATATATATATATATATATATATGAAAGCATTAAATGCAAGGAATCATAACCATACAAAAGATGAAAGCATTAAATGTGAGGAATCATAACCATACATCTGTCGTTGTTGTACGTAAAGCAGCTGCAAAAATAATTTTTCCATATATATATATATATATATATATATATATATATATATATAGGGGTTTACATTTCTGCAGCTGTTGTACGTGCAACAATCAAATACTTGCCATATATATATTTGAAAGCATAAAATGCGGGGAATCATACCCATAAAAAGGATGAAAGCATTAAATGTTGGGAATCATAACCATATACCTGTCGTTGTTGTACGTAAAGCGGCTGCAAAAATGATTTTACCATATATATATATATATATATGCGTTTATCATCTATCATTTAACATGACCACAAAAAGTTTTCTACACACACAACATTTTGTGGGGCCCGCAACAAAAAAATAAAATAAAAACTTCGGCACGCAAAATGAATCTTTATAACATAGCACAATCATTTTTCCTACAACATAACTTTTATAAAACCCTATATATATACGTACATATATATATATATATAGAGAGAGGTAGGATTCTTTGACACCAGTGTCAAATTTGAAATTTGACACATTGTCTGAGAGCCATTAGATCACAAAATATCAATGGTGTCACATGCTTACAAATCAGAGTCGTTGATCTTTTTTGATATAATGACTCTCATATGAGTGTCAAATTTCAAATTTGACACTCGTGTTAAAAGATCCTACCTCATATATATATACATGAAAATGGGAGTGTCTTGATGGGAGTGTCTTGGAAATGGATAAGTTAATGGGAAAAGTGTTTATCTTTTTAAATGACACAACTTATATCATTTCACTCTCACAAAGAGGTGGGACCCACACCTTTATTTTTTTTGTCAACTTTCTCTCCTCCTTTATCTATCTCTTTTTCTCTCTTAAAATGACATAACTTTACATCCTTTAAAATGACACACACTTTACCCTAAGTTAATACTGGGAGATTTGCCTTTATTGACATTGTTTGGTAAGCCTTTAATAACATAAAAATCTATTATGAAAAAGAAAACATTAATATTAATTTCATATCATATATATCAAAGAAATTTTACCAAATATTTTTTTTTCAGAATTTCCCTTGAAATATAAACAAAGAAATAATAATCCAGATATCTCAAAGTTAAAATAAAGAGTAAAATTACTTTTGAATCCCTGACAAAAAATACGGTTTTCACTGTAGTCCATTACAAAAAAAATTAGTCGTCTAGTCCATAAGAAATTCAAAGTGGACCCATTTTAGTCATTTTGAGGGACTAATGTGGGTCTTTTTTGAATTTGTGAGGGACCACGATTTCAACTAAATAGGTTCACTTTGAATTTCTTAGGAACCTCGGGACTAATTTTTTTTTGTGAGGGATTGAAGTGAGGATCATGTTTTTTGTTAGGGACCCAAAATGAGCTTTTACTCTAAAATAAATAACTAGCCAAATTCAATATATATAATAATCTTATTTCATGTGTGAGTATATTGAGCTAGAATTATAAAAGACTCATCAGTTGAGGGTATATTCTCATCCATGTTAAATTAAGATCATTTATTAATTATCACACCTAAAAATATAATTATAATGCCAGTGGCGGAGCCAAGCTCCAGTTTAAGCTAAGGCCCAAAAATTATGGGTTCACTTTTTCTGCAGTTACTGTAGATAAGTTATCTGCAGTAAGCCCAATACGACATCGTTTTGGGACGAAAATCATGATGTTTTTGTAATTTTAATTTATTTCAGAATTATTATAGTATTTATAATTATATTTTTTTAATCTTTCAATCCCAAAATGACGTCGTTTTAGAAGTAAATGTAGATAATTTATCTGCATTAACTGCTGAAATATTTTTTTCAAAAATTATATGTGTATTTATTTTTCTTAATTTTAGTTAATTCATATCATAATATATTTAAATTATTTTAAATACAGAGCACCTGAGAAGGTAACATTAAGAAGAGTTATAATTTTATTAAATATTTTTTACACAAGTGAGAATTGAATACATAACCTAATATAACTTACCCAAATCTCCCACCAAATATATTTTAATTTTTAGATAGGGCCAAATTACAATTTTAATCCATGCCAAATTATAATTAATTATATATAATAAGTACAATTTATTAAAATTTAGTCTGAGTCGAGGCCACTCTCAAATCAGTGGGACGTAGGTGAGTGCAAGTGCACACACAAATTTTTTGAAAAAAAAGAATAAAATATATTTTGAGTCATCAACAAAAATTATAGGATTCAATTTAATCTTTTAAAAAAAATTTGACTCGTGATCCCTTTAAATTACAAAATAAACCCATGTTAGTTCTTTTGAGGGATTAATGTAGGTCTTTTTGTATTTCAGAGAATCATGATTTTAATTATCTGGATCTATTTTTGAATTCTGAGGGATAACGAGTATATTTTTTTCCCTAATTAAGAGATTAAATTAAGGCCCGTAATCTTTGTTGATGACCCAAAATGTTGTATTGTAATAGTTTAGTTGACTCTTGATTACTTTTTTTATATTAAATTAAAATTTTCTTTTTTATATATTCTTTTGTATTTTAATATATTTAAAATTTTCTTTAAATTTTTTTTCTTTATTCTTTTATTGTAAATGTGCAGACATTAAAAAAAAAAATTTAGGTCCACTGTTGCCTCAAATGATATGTGGCTCTGCCACTGATGCCAGGCCACACGGTTGAAATAAATAAATCAATAAATAACAAGATTTCTAGGTGTAACAAGTCATGGCTTGTTAAGATTAACACTTACGAATATTTCAAATTATAATCTCATGCAAACTAGGCAAGTCCCTAGTAACTTTAAGGCTAACCATACTATTTTTAGATATTGTATTCTTACAAAGTCGTTCTCTCAAAACAATTCATAAACATAAATAAAGACCTTAATGATAATTTTTAAATTTTTTTCACCCAAAGATACCACTATTTCCCATTTTTCTAATTATTAAACCCTATATAAAAAGGGGAACGATCTATTTACAAAATTTTTTGACAAATTTTTACAAATTACACTATCTTCTCCCGAAAGAACATAGTGAAACTTAGTGTTCTCCCGGGAGAAGATAGTGTAGTTTGTAAGAGTTTGTTAACAAAAAAGTTTATAAATATAACCTGCCCCATATAAAAATAGAAAAATATACTTCTTCTTTCACTGCAGAAGAAATTTTATGCAACAACTAATTATAATTATGTATTAGAGGAAGTACATAGTTAAAATTTTAAAAGCTCTTTTTTTTCCTCCTCAGAAGGATGTTGGCTGACGTGGAGGAGAGAAAAAAATAACTTTAATATTATAACTATATACTATCTATGTACTATTCGTAATACATAGTTATAATTGGTTGTTGTAGAAAATTTCTTCTATAGTGAAAGGAGAAGTTAGGTCCCCATAAAAATATAATAATTGGGTCCAATAGAAGATCATAACATGAGTGATTCGTCAAATTTGGATTCTTCTATATCCGTTCATGCTGTACTTCATTGTGTGATATATAGAAGAGTCCTACGATATATATAAGATCCACCTGTATAGATATTATTATCTACATCGAGAAAGTCATACGCTTTGGAAGAAGCTTATACAGTTTCTTAGGACCATTATAGTTACAACTGCTGTTCACCGAGGCTTCGGTAGCCAGCTCTCATGACGAACGTCCTTTTTTGTATCTTTTTATCTTCTTTCATTATAATTTTTTGAAATACATAGAAATAATATACAAAAGTTGAAATAAAATCAAGGAGAAAATCTAATCATATGAGATTAGCCTCCTTGTTACAACCCAAGAAAATACAAAGAAATATCTACCATGGGTTAAAGTTAAAACCAAATAAAGAATTGATTTTTAATGAAAGGAATTATAAAGAGACTCATGCAAAATACATACTATTAAACATAGAACCCTAGGTGCCAGATTTCATGAAGCAAAACTAATTACCTGAATAGTGAAATTAGATTCACATACCAATGTACAGCTAAGGCTCTGATACCAATTGTAGGAGTTATTGGATTCATGCGAAAGCGATTTAGGACTAGTACATTGGTATGCTTACTGAATCATCCTCGTTTCAATTACCTCTTGGTGCACAGATCTCGTGTGGAATCTTCTTGTGTATGATTCCTCTTCACTAGAGGTGTAAATAGGCCAAGGCAGGGCAGGCTTTGGCCTTCATGGCCTAGGCTTACACAAAAAAATGTTGAGCCTATCAAAGGCTTAGTTTAAAGGCCAAGCCTGCCCTATTATTAAAAAATAAAAAGCTGACATGGCCTATGAGTCCTTTTAGGCCTACCATATTGCAAATTAAATTAAAAAAAAATGAAATATCTCATTCATTAAACAATATTTCTAGCATGGGTCCAAATTATAAAAATTCTACAACATATTTTTTAACAAGAACACAGATTATAAAAATTCATGACAACAAAGATTGAATTTTTCTTGGCATGTCACAATCTTCTAGTGAGCCTTCTTATCTTCCTCTTACTTTGATACACTTTCACTTTTTGAATCTATGAAACATCATCTTCCTGCAAAAAAAAGTTATGTTCATTAGAGTGAGTGAGGTAAAAATCTTGTAACCTGCAAAACATATAAAGCAGACAAACTTGAATAAAAAAAAATACATGAAACTAACACAAACTTAAGAATCAATCTATTACATTCAGAGCAATACATGTTAGTGACTAACACCTTAAGAATCCATTCTATTCCATTCAGCTTTATATAGGTGTCTCTTTACCAATGAGTGCACAAAATGTTAGAAAGTCCAAATTTGCTATAAGACACACAATGCCGAATATCTATGCCAACAGGTATCTTTTTCATTCATTCAAAAATCTTAGTTCAGCTGAGTCCGTGAAACTTTGAAAAGAAACATCAACGTGTTTATCTTTTGGGAAAAAATATATATATATATATATTGTTTATCATCTTCCTTGTTTATATAAATACAGAATTTCGAGTCATATTTTTATTATCTAACTAGTTTGTTTCTAAATTTAAATCTGATTCAATCTAATATAATTTAAAGCAGTTTAGAAGAAACCAATTTTTGTTTTTGTATTTTAGGTTAAATAAATAATTAATGTAATACAAATTAATTCAAAATATTAAATATCTCATCTCATAACTCATTTGATACATAAAGCTCATTTCAATTTCACACTCCCAAAAAAGAACATACACAAGAACAAGAAATGGACATACCATATGGAAAATTGGCATCCCTGATTTCTCTGCTACAGAGTTCTATGTTCTAGACCCTTATCCTAATTCCTAACCTCATTAACCGATTATTCATATCAGAACTTCATTTACAAAACAACTATAATGCTTAAACATTAACATAGAAGAGGGACTCTGGCAATTTAAATTAAAAAAAAACTGAAGTTATATATAAGTTAACACTAAAATCTGTATTAGGAAGGAATGCATGACAAGCATATAAATTTATAATTTTTTGAAACACATCAGTTATATCCATAAGAAATACAAAAAAAGGAGACAAAGAAACAACGAACTATCTCAAAGTAAGCTTCACAAAGATCTAAAAATTGTACACAACAGTTATAAAAAGAAACAGGGGCAACAAAGAAACAACAAAATATCTCAAAGCAAGCTTCACAAAGATCTAAAAATTGTACATTTAGGTGATAAAAAGAAACAGAGGCAACAAAGAAAAACATGCATAAGCACATTACTTGCACCTTTCTTGGGGGAAAAAAGAAAAGAAAAAAAGCAGTACCTGGTGCTTTGTGAACGCAAATCCAAAGAAAAAAATCCTCAAGGCTGCCTTTTGCTTTTGGGAAATCACTGTGAGCACCTAATCTATTGAAAGACAAACCACTTCTGCATCAACATAGCAAATGCAATCGATCAGTGCATGAAAATCGAACAGTGTATGAAGCAGGGACATACCGACAGAGAAATGGTTTGTGGGTTAGGGTTTGTATACCTTGATAAATCACAAAAATCGAAATCGACGAAGATGTTGCGGTGGTGAATAGGCAACGAATCACACATGAACGGCGGTGAGAACAGATGGGTAATCGGCGGTGAGGGACTTCAACTTTCTGACTTGAGAGAAAATGGGATCAAAGAAATTGGGTGATAGTGTGAGTGAGAAAAGCGACGCATACTAAAACAAAAGCAATTAGGTTATCTAACTTTTAGAATAAATAAATAAATATATAAAATATTTTTTATTTAAATATTAAACAGGCCGGCCTACAGGCTAAAAGGCCAGGCATTTTTTTTAGCCTTACGGCCTTGTTTCTAAACAGGCTCATACACAAGCCTTGACCTATGCTAATTACCTCGTAGGCCAGGCCAGAACAGGCTTTTCGTAGGCCAGATCATAGGTCCCTGTAGGCCGGCCTGACCCATTTACACCTCTTACGAACTGCTGACCTCAGTGCTGCAGCACTAACAACCTCCTTGAAGCTGGACTATGGCAGATCTTCCAGACTATGTCTCAAGAGGAAATGGGAAGTGTGTGGGCACTCTCTCACTTTCAGGAAGATAACCTTACCTCAGCCTCTGCACCACCAAGTGAAGACTAGATGAGCTAATGACCGTAGAATATATATGAGTTTCAAGAAACCCTAACCCTAAGCAGAATGAGCTTTAGCTTTCTTGGACTCTTCTTACACACTAGGCCTTATTGGGCTTTAGTGAAAGAGCAATTAAAATCCAACAGATTCATGATATATATCAAATACAATAAGATTCACAGGTTAAGTGATATGTATCGAGAGATATATCGGAAAATAGGTTATATCATACTATACAATACGTATCGTGTATCATACGATACAAAAATTAAATTAAAATTTATAATTTTTACTATAAAAAAATAAATAAAGATTTAATTTGTTATTTAATTTTAAAAAACTTTAAAATTATTATTAATAAAGAAAATAAAGATTTAATTTGTAATTTAAACTCAAAAATTAATATGAAAAATTTGTATTAATAAAAAAATAATCAAATGAATATTTTAAATCTATGCAATCTTCAAAAAGAAAAATAAATCAATAAAAAACTGATTATTATTAAAGCAACAGAAGGTTGCGTAAACAAAAACAAAAAAATGTTTTTTCAAAATATCTTTATCGACTTTGCTTTAGCCTTGAGAAGTCGAAAAGTCAGTTATAAATGCTAATATTGATAGTATTGATATTATTAGTCTTAATAATTGATGAGTAGGAGAATAACTAGTTTACATTTTAGTTATTTATGTATTTTGTTTATTGGATCTTTTTTGGAATTTGAATTTATATGATATTTTTAAATATTTTTTATTCTGTTTCTATATCTTACGAATCGGTACGATTCACGATATATGATACATATTGCAATTCAACAATCTTGGTTTGAAAAATAATGATAGTTTTATATATTTATGAGTAAATACCCTTTTTTGGTCCTCATCAAATTTTACGACACCCGTTTTAGTTCCTAGCAAATAAAAAGGTCCATCGTGGTCCCTAAAAAATTTAAAATGGACCCATTTTAGTCCTTTTAGGGACTGATATGGGTCTTTTTTGAATTTGTGAGGGACCAAAGTTTCTAAAATTTCAACTAAATGGGTCCATTTTGAATTTGTTAGGGACCACGATAGACCTTTTTAATTGCTAGGGACTAAAACGGGGGTCGTAAAATTTGATGAGGACCAAAAATGATATTTACTCTATATTTATAGTCACATGCTTTTATATGTAAAATAAAAATAAAAATAAAAATTGGAGAGCACTTTTTATTCAATTTTAATGAGACTTCTTTGAAATTAAGCATGTGCTCACATATGTATAAAAATAAAAAAAAAAAAAACATGTGCGCACGCATATATATATGTGCAACTATTATTTTACAGGGATGAAACTAAAAATTCCTCCTCGTTTTGGTATGTCCCCATGTTGGAGAATGGTCATATAACGCTTTGCACTCTATATCGGGTTCATATTTTACAGGGATGAAACTGAAGATATCAGGAATATAGTTGAAAGTGTTACTGGTTTGCTAGACAACACGGATTTGTTTGTTGCTGAACATCCGGTGGGAATAGAATCTCGGGTGCAAGATGTGATTCAACTATTGAACAACCAACAAACAAAACATCCTCTACTTCTAGGCATATTGGGGATGGGAGGGGTTGGCAAAACAACCGTTGCCAAAGCCATTTATAATGAAGTTGGTCGCAATTTTCGGGCTAAGAGCTTCCTCCTAAATGTCAGGGAAGATTGGGAAAAAAGTAATGGACAAATTTCTTTACAACAACGGCTTCTTTCTGATATATACAAAACAACAAAAGTGAAGATAGATACAACTGAATTAGGAAAAGTGGAATTACAAAAGAGACTTAGCCAGAAAAGGATATTTCTTGTGCTTGACGATGTAGATAAATTGGACCAATTGAATGCTTTGTGTGGAAGTCGTAAATGGTTTGGTAGGGGAAGCAGAATAATCATCACAACAAGAGATAAACATCTACTTAGTGTGCTTAGAGTTGACCGCCTATACAGAATGAAAGAAATGGACAAAAATGAATCTCTTGAGCTTTTTAGTTGGCATGCGTTCAAGCAAGCAAGTCCTAATGAAGGTTTTGCTAACATTTCTAGAGATGTTGTTAAATATTCTGGGGGATTGCCGCTAGCTCTTCAAGTACTTGGATCCTTTTTGAATTCTAGGGGGGTAAGGGACTGGGAGAGTGCATTGGAAAAACTCAAAATCATTCCCAATCATGAAATACTGAGGAAGCTTAAAATAAGTTTTGATGGTTTAAATGATGATAAAGTGAAAGAAATATTCCTTGATATAGCTTTTTTCTTTATTGGGAAGGATCGAGATGATGTAATTGAGATATTAAATGACTGTGGGCTTTTTGCAGAAATTGGAATAAGCGAACTCGTAGAAAAAAGTCTTGTAACTGTTAACAATAAGAACAGGCTCGGAATGCATGATTTGCTGCGAGACATGGGAAGAGAAATCGTTCGGGAAAAATCACCAGAGTTGGCCGAGGAGCGCAGTAGGGTATGGCTCCAAGAAGATGTGCTTGATGTGTTATCAAAAGATACAGTAAGAACTCATGCCTGGTTTTTGTTTTTAAATCTAATCCAACGTCAAATGATGCAAGATAAACATTGGTGAATCAGTTGTTAGCATTCAATTGTTATCTTTATTTAACTCAGTAAGTAAGAAAACTAGCTATATATCTCCAAAAAAATAAAATAAAAAATAGCTTGATTGTGAATTGTTTAATGTTGCTTGCTTCCTAATGAGCTTCAAAATTCATAATTACATTCAGTTACGCTCCTAGACCTTTTGCTGCCATTTACTTCTGCTATGCGTTTTATTTTTCTGTTCCTTTTATTTCACAGGGAACGATAGCTGTTAAGGGACTGACTTTGAAGTTGCCAAGGATGGAAACAACAACTGGTTTGAAAACCAAAGCATTTGAGAAGATGAAGAGACTGAGATTGCTTCAACTTGCTGGCATACAACTTGATGGTGATTATAAATATCTCTCACAAGATCTTAGATGGCTTTGCTGGGATGGATTTCCTTCAATATATACACCTGAAGACTTTCATCAAGGAAGTTTAGTTGCCATTGAGTTAAAATATTCCAATATGCAACAGGTGTGGATGAAGTCCAAGGTATAATAAGTTCTACCTCCCCCCCTTTCCCCTTTTCTTTAGCTATTTCGATACTAATAATATATTTGGATGCAATAAACTTAAATTTAGTGTCTCACACAGTACTTCAACTTAACTATAGTTTGCTTTTAGAAAGTGGATATGTGATGATTTGAGAATTTGATAAGCATGCATGTCGAAAACTGGGGTCAATGTGAAAAATATAATGTTTTCACATTTTACTTCCTTTTAGAATATCTGTCATTTAATGCAATTATACATGAATTTAAAAAATACTAAATAACTTCATATATAGAAATATATAACTGTATATGATTATTTATATTTTATTCAAATACTCAATATATTATTATCACATTAATGTTCTTTCTTATTTCAATTAGTTAAAATTTGAAAAGACAAGATAGAGTTAGAAGAAATAATTAATGGCTTATTGTTTTATAAAATGACATATTTTAGGGGATTGCTGCTCGCTCTTCAAAGGTGGAACAGAGGTGTTGTTATGTTGATGTTGTGATGTGTTATAAAATGACATATCCTAAAGTTGATAGAACATTCCTTCTCTGAAATGACTCATTTTAAAACAAATCGAATGCATTCACCAAAAAAAAAATAAAAAAAATCGAATGCTAAGCATAAAGAATTATTTAATGAATTTTATATATAAAAGAAAGAGTTCACTGTATATAAGTACTAAATTTCACACTTTTAATTTTGGTTTCTTTTAGTCTTTTGAGCATTTTAAGTGCTTCTTGTAAAAGTTTACCTCAAGATTTTTTATTTTTTTTTAATATACCTCAAGATTTTCTTATACTTAGTATAAAGTTTAAATTTTTTTCTTAAAAATAGAAATTTTAAAATTAACAATATTATTACTTTTTTTTTTGGTAAAAACAATATTATTACTTTAATTAAGTTAAAGCATACGACCTGTTAAAATTTGTGCTAAAACTTGAATTCAATAAAGAGAAGTGAGAGATATATATAAGGATTACTCAATTGATATTTATCAGACAAAGCCCAATATCAAGTCAGAAATAGTGTAATCTAATAGTTTGAACTCCAAGGTCGAAAGTTCAATTTTCGAAGAAGAGTGGAAGATTTTTGGCCTTTACAATACCCGAGTTGAATTGCAAAAGCAATAGCATGTGAGGGTGAAGTCAATACTTGTACACAACTTTACTTATATTACAAAAAAACTATTTTTTGAATTTGAACACTTAACTTTTCAATCACAAAAAGGAACAGTTTTAGTTTTACCACTGTTTTAGGCTCATCCTGTCAAAAGCAATATATATATATATATAGGGAAAAGTATTTCTACAGCCACTTTAGATAAAGTTGTTTATAGCTACTTTTTTTTCACTAAGTACGATCGGTCGTACTTAGTTATAACACTAAAAATGTTCTTTTTTTCTCTTTCCTCAGACATTGTCGGCTGACGTGGCAGAGAGAGAAAATACAATTTTAATGTACGACTGGTCGTACTTAGTAAAAAAAAAAGAATAGCTGTAAACAACCTTATCTAACGTGGCTGCTTAAATATTTTCTCCCTATGTATATAACTAAAAAACAAAAAATGGATTTAAACTATTTGGAGAAGGCTCATCAATGTCTTTTAATAATTTCACTAGCATTGCATTCTATTTATTTCCATATAATTTTTCTAGGCTTCTTCTCTAATATATCTTCAAATTTTCTTTCCTTACAGATGCTGACGAAGCTGAAAATTCTCAATCTCAGTCATTCTCCTAACTTGAGAGAAACCCCAGACTTTTCGAAGATACCAAATCTGAAGAAGTTAATACTAGGGGTGTAAATGGGCCAGGCTGGCCCAGCCCAGCCTACGGCCCGGCCTACATTGAGCCCAGCCCAGGCTCAGCCTTTCAGAAAAGTAGAGTAGGCTTAGGCCTATAAAAAAGTTTTTTTAATAAATAGGCCATAGGCCAATTTTTTCAAGCCCGGCCTACAGCCTTGTAGGCTGGCCTATTTAATTTATTAAAATAAAATAATAAAATAATATTTATTTTATGTGGCAAAGACACAAAGTACCAAATACCAATATCTCTTACTTTTTGTGCTTGTTTTATTTTATGAAAAGAAAATTTGTCTAATGTCTCCAAATTTTACATGTTGTTGCAGCTTAGTACCATGGAGCAATGGGTACCTTGCTGGATTATGATGTTACTGATGAAGATCTTTCAATAATACCCTTCTTTCCTTTGTCTTGATGGTGGTTTAAAGATTTTTAGATGAATGACATTCTTTTGTAGACTTTATTTCAGCATCGAGTAATTGTATTTTTCTTATTTTTCCCATTTCTTTGACTTTATTCCTCTATGATATACATTCTAGAGCTGATATTATGTTAACTCTTTCTTGTTTGTCATTTTTTTCTTATGAGAAGTACTAGTGCATGCATGAATGGAACTTTCTTTGCTCTATACAATTATTTTTTTTGCTTAGTATATATAATGGAAGGCCTACAAGGCTTGTAGGCCATGTCAGGCTTTCTTATTTTCTAAAATGGGCCGGGCTTGGCCTACAAATAAAGCCTTTAATAGGCCAGTAAGCCAGATAGGCTGAATTTTTTTTGACGTAGGCTTGGGCCAGGATGGACAAAGCCCAGCCCAGCCCAACCCATTTACACCCCTAGTTAATACTCAAAGATTGTCCACGTTTGTCTTCGGTTTCTGATACTATTGAACATCTCAAAGAAATTCTTCTGATAAATTTGAAAGACTGTACAGGCCTTAGTACACTTCCAAGAAGCATCTATAAGTTAAAGACATTAAAAATTCTCATTCTGTCTGGATGTTCAAAAATTGACATGTTGGAAGAGGACTTGGAACAGATGGAATCTTTAACCACCCTGATTGCAGATAAGACTGCTATAAAAAGAGTGCCCTTTTCAATTGTGAGATCAAAAAGCATTGCATATATTTCATTGTGTGGCTATAAAGGATCCTCACGTGATGTGTTTCCATCTCTTATATGGTCTTGGATGTCTCCAACAAACATTGTCTTATCCCAAGTTCAAACATCTGCGGGCATGTCATCTCTAGCTTTCTTAGATGAACAAAATAGTAGTTTCCATGTTCAATCATCTACTCTCAAAGACCTTCAGAAGCTTCAACGTCTTTGGGTGGAGTGCGACTCAGAAGTTCAACTAAATGAAACTGTAGAAAGAATTTTGGATACTTTAAAAACCACAAATTACGAGGAGTTGGAAGCAATGCCAAGCACATCACATGTATCAAATATGAAGACTTCTGCATTAATTGTTTGTCACAGTCAAGCTCGCATTTCAGGATCAAAAAATTCCCTGACATCTCTTTTAATTCAAATGGGAATGAACTGCAATGTCACCAATATTCTTAGAGAAAGCATTTTACAGGTTCTCTCTCTGACTTGCAGAATATATATATATATATATATATATATATATATATGAGGATGAATCTTTTGACTCTAGAGTATAACTCTTACTCCTCGTCTCAATCGTTGATTTCCGTCCATATAACGGTTATATATAACAATTAATTATTTATTTATTTCAAATAAATAATAACTATTAGATGGACGGAAATCAACTGTTGAGATGAAGAGTAAGAGTTGTAAGTCTTACTCTAAAGTTAAAATATCCCTCCTCGTATATATATATATATATATATATATATATATATATATATATATATAATGTGGTAAGGAAAAATACGTCAGTAACAATTAAATAGATTATAACGTTCAATAATTTTAATTCATTGTCCAGAAAATGTCTCCCATTGGGCCCGTTTTCCTCCCTAGTGACAATTATCCTGATTGGTTAGCCTTCAGTGGTGAAGGTTCTTCTGTAGTTTTCGATGTCCCTCAAGTGAAGGAGCGTAACTTGAAGACAATCATGTGCCTTGTCTATATTTCTTCCCCAGACAGTATGACACCAGAAGTCCTTAAAAATATGTTGGTGATAAATTACACAAAGAACACCATTCAGCTCTACAAGAGAGACGCATTAACCCCCTTTGAAGACGAGGAGTGGCTGAGAGTAGTATCAAATATAGAACCGGGTAACAAAGTGAAGGTTGTTCTTGTTTTTGAGAACAGATACATTGTGAATTATACAACAGTTTTTCTCATATATGGTGAACCAATTAACGAAAAATTGGAGCACTGCCATACACCAGATAAAAATGCTGTTGTTTCTGGTGGTGATGAAAATGTAAGTCATGATAGTCTAAATGTACATTTTTCTATGTGAAAGTTTGTTTTTCCCTTTTCCTTTTTCTGTTTTTCATATTGTGATGGAAGCAAGATTTAAGAATTGAACAACCAACTCTGAACCAGTTGAGTAAGTATGTAGCTTCTAAAACCTCTATTCCCCTGTTTTCATAGTTTCTGTGCATCATAGGAGTACACTTAATATTCTTTGAACTTTTACACTTGCAGATAAAATTCACACACTGAATTCAATTGAATTAGGGAGTCACACTTGATATATTCTGCATATGGACAAATTTATAATTCTCAGTTTTAAATAAGATGCACCTACTTTATATATTAATTAAAGTTACACTATTTGCACATTTAAATATGATTGATTTTTAATTTATCTACAAAAGTTAGAATATGTCAAATTACATAATTATTAGTGTTGCGAATCCAAATAAAGCCTGACTCAGTTACTTGTGAAAACTATATATTTTAGCATAATTTTCAGAATGCTTTTTGTGCTAAAACCATTTTTTGCTTGCTGTAGAGTATAAGCAAGGAGAATTCAGATCCCCCCGCTCAAGCTGAAATGTTTTTTGGAAATCGACAAAGGAAGAAGGGAAAGCAGATAAACCAAGAAACAAATAATGCAATTGTAAGTTTATCTTTATAATTTATAAAGTCAAATATAATTAACTCTTACTAACATTGCTTTAAATATACTGGACCAAACTTCATCGCTAGATTGAAAATTCTGGTCAGCCTTCCACTGAAGCTTTTCCGGCCGTGTATGGGAAAGAAAAGCCAGGAGAAGTGTGCTGCTATGAAAGAACTACCACACCTACTCTGTTGAAAATTAATGAAGAAATGACAGAAATTGAGAAAATAAATGCTAATGAGGCCAAACATTTAAATGAAAAGATTGAAGTGATAGAGGCAAAACATAATAATGAAATGGCAACAGTGGAGAAAAAGTTTCAACTTCAAAGGACTACGCTAAATCAAAAAAACTTAGGACTAGATGTGGAGCCCTTGGATTTGTTATCAACTCCAGGTGATGCTACCAGTGCTCCATACAATCATGAGGTAAAATGATTCTTTCTTTATTTTCTATTTTTCACTGCCATGTTGCTATATTGATTGTGACTACTGAATGGAGTTAAAACAATTATATACTAGATAGTCAAGTGATTACTTTATGACAACTTACTGCGCTTTTTAACTTCCCTTTATAGTCAATGGCTATTCTAACAATTTTTATGTCGCGTAGTTAGTAGATTTGTCTTTCGTTATTATGTTCTCTCATGGATAGATTTGATAATTTCAATTTATTCATTGACTTCATTGGATGTTAGGAACATGTGACCTTCAATGATTTTGATTAAAAATTGTAGTCATTGATTTTGCTATATGGCTTTTAATACAATATTGCATTTCATTAAAAATTGTGGTCATTGATTTCGATTTCCTGTTTGACTTTCACTGCAATAATTTGGTGTGTCAGTTTAAATAATTTAGTGACTAAGAAATGTTAACAGTAATGAACTTAATTTAAAAGGGTAATCCTTTTTACAGTAGTTGCAAGGGATGACAACCAATTCTGTAATGCATGATTATGGGATAGCATTACTCCATAATGTTCTTATTTTATTGTGCCCTAACATTGTTATGAGTTATTGTGAACATTTTTTTCAAGTCAGTTCACCAATAGATTTGAGTTGCCAATTTACATTCAATGTTTGTTCATGATTGATGGAAACTAATGTTGATAAAAAAGAGTGAAAGATTTGGTCAATAATTACGCCTTACGTATACATTATGATTTGATGAGGTCACCCCAAAGGAAATATGCATAAGGGCTTTTTTCACTCTAGAATATGAAATTCAATGAAGGATAGGCTGAATTTAATAATTAATCCATCTTTTAGAATTAAGCAAATAAAGCAAACGTTCAATAAATTGTGGTCTAAGGATCATGAGTTCTCTTTACTCTTGCAATACATTAGATTTGGTTGGGATGTAGAAACCAACACCATTACTACTAATGAAGAAGTTTGGCAATTTTATATTTGGGTATATTTAAGATTTAATTTGTGGGGTTATGATTTTATTTAATTGTCAACATTTTTAAGTATCATTTGACTATTTTCTTAAATGATTTTAGCCACATCCAAAGCCAAGGGTTCATGCAGAGACACATATGGCTAAAAGTATGGAGGAGACTTCAAATACATTGCCCGATTATTCTATTGCTAAGTGTATGAATGCTCTTAATGAGATTGAAGACATTTCAGATGACATCTATTGGAAAGCTTCACAAAAATTTATGGAGCCTGATTGGAGGGAAATGTTTCTTACCATGGCTACAGATAGGAGAAAGGCATGGCTAGGTAGACTTCAATGAGAAATTGTGCATGTAGATGTTGAATTAATTATGTACTTTACTTTGGTGGTAAGTTTATTGTCTTTATGGTTATTATTTTTCGAAGTTTATGATGTCCATTTGTACATGTGCTTTTTATTAGATCATTAAATTTTAACTTATCGATATTTTTATAAAAATATAACGCATTATCAAATGTTTGTCTGTGTGCTGATTATTAGCAGATCAAACTCTTAACTGATATTTGTACATGTATTGTTTATTAAAATATTCTTGTTATGAAATTGTCTGACAGGTTTTAGCTATAATGGATGTTGTTAATAATTCATCAGAAAGTGATCCTTGTTTTGGTGAATCTTTATCAGATTCAAGTGATGATAAGTTATTCAACTATGCATAATTGATATAGTATGCAATTATAACCAATAACTTTTAGATGAAAACTAAGTTTTAAACACTGGCGATTATCATTGTATTCGAGTCAATTACATCATCTGGAATTGTTAGCAATTATAATAACTCCAAATTGCACTTTAACGAAAAATAATACATAACAAGATATAATAGACCACAATGTTGATATTGATGATAAATAAATTAAGTTATTAAGAGCCAATGGAGTTATGTAGCATGTTTTATGAGGGGGTGGCATGTTGGTTAAGTGAACCGGCATGAGTTGAAACTAGTTTATTCACTAGAAATTGTAGCTCCTACATGTCGACGAGTATGGACTTGTCCAAATCATCTCTTCCCAAGTTTTCTCTCAATTATGTATAAGGGGAGCCTAACATGTTATGAACAAGCACATGCAAACTCTGTGTGCCGCCTGAGTCACGACACCACAACAGTATACGAACTGCACAAAAGCAAGGTAACAACCTATAAGGCTATAATAGTTACCAATGATGCACGGACACTCACGACACGCCGCGGCGACGCGTTACTTTTAAAAAATATCATATTTTGAAACGTTGGAACACGTTTTGATATTAAATAAAAATTTTAATATATATAATATAATTTATATTTAATACATATAAGAGTTATAATAAGTCATATAACCAATCAAATATTTAAATTTCATAACATAAATATAAATATAAATAATTTTTCGTACTTTGTTATAATGTCAAATTTCATAACAGAAAAAAATTAATTTATAAATTATTTCTTTTATATTTAGTTAACAAAATAAAATTAAAATTAAAAAAAAAATGTGTTCGAGCGTTGACCGCGTGTCCGAAAAAATTGACCGCGTGTCCGAGAGTTGACCGTCCGACACGCAATTTTTTTTCCGACGCCATGTCCATGCTTTGAAGATAGTTACTCACACGCTCCAAGTCTTGCCCAACAACCTATAGTAGTGATTCACACACTCCACAAAAGAACCCTCAACCTCATTATAAATATAAGGTTTTCACCTTCAAGTTGGAACTTTCCTCTATGCAAACTCCACCTCACTCAAACACTTACTTGAGCATTGGAGTCCTGCAAGTGCACACAAGAGGAACAGTTTAAAACAATCTGCTCCTAAGCCATCCTCTTATTGTTACACAACAGGAAATCTAACAAGCCCTTAACATCATCTCTGCTCAACCTCAGACAACTGCGAGTTCATAGAAACTAAAAAAAGTTTGCACCCTGAGATCATGTCCCCATCTTTGGGTCATAACAAACCATTTGCTTTGACATTGGGTTCCAACATTGGCGTCTTTTGTTAAAAGAGGCAAACTTCCTCCCATAGCATCATGAGCACACAAACCTTCCCTCGTGGTCGCTCGTAAAGGTAGGAGGCATCTACGACATCAGTACATTTGTTCTATAGAAAGGGGCCCACATGCCTCACCCAAACAACTTTGTTGGTAGGAAGAGGCTTCAACAACATCAGAAAGAACACTTATCGCTCCCTAGAAACACTCAAGGAAAGACAGAGCCGCCAACATTCCCAACCACCTGATGGTTTGTCCATAGCTCTCCCTGAATAAAACAAATGGAATAAAACCCAGAAGACAACTTGGAATATGATTCACACTTGACTTAGCTCACTCTAACATCCTTCTCTTGTTGCCAATCAAATTTGTTGAATTAGTTACAACTTGATCTCTCGGTGGAATGGGCCTGGACCTAACCTGAATCGGAAGCCCTATGTTACATAATGGCTTTTCTCTGTCTTAAATTGAGTTTCAAGTTTATGGTTCAGCTTGGGAATTAGGGTTGTTTGTAAATTCAAGTAATTGGTCTAATGGTTGAAGACTTGTTCCTCAATTTATATTGGAGTTTTGTATAGCATTTATGATGATTAAATTTTATGAATGTATAACATTTTTGAAGCTGTAGTTTTGGGAGTTTTTATTCAAATCAAGGTCTGTCCGATGTTAATATGAAATTTACAGTAACATGCTGTTGCATTCCAAGTCTTCTAGCAATGACATTGAAGTTCATCCTAAGCTAAAGATCTATTTTGGACAATGGTTTTGAGGCACAATAATCCTATTTCAGCTAAGTAAGTTATTCAATGTAAAATTATCAAATGCAGATTGCAGCATGTCGCGGCCAACCCTAAAAAAAGCTATAACGGGTTGCGGTTGCAGAAATAGCGAAATAGATACATGACATAAATAATGACAAAAAGAAACATCTTTTAAAGGCAGAGATAACAGACGTGATAGAGAAAGACGCATATAGATTAAAAACCCTTAAAAAATTTCTGTTACACATTTAAATTTAAGACAAAATTGACATTTTGTCTTATGACAGTAATATGGCCGCGATTTGGCCGCAAATGCGATTGCAATGGACGCTATTGCGTTCCAGTGCGGTGCGACGCGACGCGATATCTTGCGGCAAGGCACCGCAACGCCCATACGGCGCGGCTCGCCGCGTTATTGCAGCACAATTAACTATGTTTGAAATTGAGTGCAGTGAAGTAAAGTATGATTTAAAACTAACTCTCTTCACTTAAGATATATAAATTTAGATAGTAAATAAAACAGCCAAGAAAATTTGAAAGTTGACAATGGCTTATAAACAATTGTCCCTTATTCTGTTATCATCATCTAGTTTAGTATTTAGTAATCTGCCAGCAAAATGCATTCAATACCAAGAATACACCATATGTAATTAACCATACCTATTAAGGATTCAGCAAGGCACCAAAAAGAAATAAAAATAAAACTTGATAATGGGTAATGAGCATGAATGCTTATTGTTTCATCGTAATCTAATTTAGGTACATGCCAATAAAATGCATGTAATACCATAAAGTTATTATACATAATCACTAGTTATGAGCATGTTTCATCCTGAATTTCCTATTGTGATTCTCAAAACGATTTGAAAAGGCTACCAGAAACCTGAATGATCAATAATCAGTGCTGTGCCCATTGAATATCCTTGATGTTGATACCTTCCTTCACCATTTCATAAAGTGGACTCATTTCCCTCAACTTCTCCACTTGCTGAACCGTGAGCTCAATTGCCCTGTCAATTTCAGCCTCCGTAGTGAACCTCCCAATACCAAATCTAATAGAAGTGTGAGCCATATCCTCCTCCACTCCCAAGGCTCTCAACACATAGGAAGGCTCCAAACTCGCACTGGTGCAGGCACTGCCACTGGAGACAGCCACCTCCTTCAACCCCATGAGTAGACTCTCCCCTTCAACATAAGCAAATGACAAATTCAGATTCCCAGAGTAGCGCCTTTCCATGCTCCCATTCACCACCACCCCATCAAGTTTTTCTCTAATCCCATTAAGCAGTCGCTCTTGCAATGCGGAAATCCTCCTTTCATCATACTCCATCTCCTTCATCGCCAACTCGCAAGCAGCACCCATCCCCACAACCAAAGGTGTAGGCACAGTCCCACTTCGAATCCCTCTCTCTTGTCCACCACCATTCATCTGAGGCTCAACACGAATCCTGGGTCTCCTCCGAAGATACAATGCCCCAACCCCTTTTGGCGCATAAATCTTATGCCCACTCAAGGACATCAAACTCACGTTCCACTTGTCAACATCAACGGGAATCTTCCCCAAAGCCTGAGCTGCATCGGTGTGGAAAGGAACATTGAACTCCTTGCAAATCTTCCCAATATCCTCCATCGGCTGAACCACCCCAATCTCATTGTTCACCGCCATAACAGAAACCAGCCCAGTATCGGGTCTAATCGCAGCCCTAAGCTTCTCCAAATCAATCAACCCATCAGTCTCAACCGGAAGATAGGTAATATCAAAACCCTCTTGCTGAAGGTGGCGGCAAGAATCAAGCACACACTTGTGCTCCGTTTGAGTTGTTATCACGTGCCTCTTCTTGTCCTTGTAGAAATGCATAACACCCTTAATTGAGACGTTGTTGGACTCGGTAGCGCCGGAGGTAAAGACTATTTCTTTGGGGGAAGCACCGATTAGGGTTGCTACCTGAGCGCGAGAGTGCTCCACGGCGTCATCGGATTCCCAGCCATAGAAGTGGGTGCGAGAGTGAGGGTTCCCGAAGCGAGTGAGATAGAAAGGAAGCATGGCATCGAGGACTCGAGGGTCCACTGGTGATGTTGCTTGCACATCCAGGTAAAGGGGTCTTCCAGAGATTTTCACACCTTTCATCGTGATTCCCGCGGAGTCTTCATTGTCTTGGGGCTCTGCCACTGCCGCCGCCGCCGCTGACGTGGATAGCAGCTTGCGGCGGAAGAGATGGGTTGATTTTGTGAGGTGCTGACGGAGGTTGGAAGCAACTAACCTTGACGTCATTGGATCGGTGAGCTGTGAGAGATTAGTCCCACCTGCTATTCCTTGCTTGTCGGTTTGGTAAAGAAAGAAAAAACCTAATTTTTATTTTGGTCTGAGTTTTGGGATTTTGAAGATAACATGGAACAAAGTGTTTCCCACTTTTTGGGTGATATTTCTCTTTTGTGGATTGTTGGGTGATTCTGATGGTAAGAGTATAATAGTGTCACCGACCTTCTTCCAAGGTAAGTTGTGCTTTATATGATGCCACGCGTTGCCATTTGATTCGCTGGTGGTTTTCTTCTCCTGTAACTTAAGTACGACAGTTCTCCTAACTTTTTCAGACGACGGCGTCGTTTTACCTTTTCTCTACTTGACTAAATAAGTGATAAAATCGTTAAATAATTAAAGGGTTAGAGGAGTATTATGTCACGTGACCCTAGCTAATTTTCTCACATAAACAAAAGTGAAGAGAGAGAAAATGATAAAAAAAGAGAAAAGAAAAATGATAAATCCCATGTTTGCATTGTTTGTGTTACATGAATTTATATTACCCATAATTAAAATAAGGGTTAAGTATTTATCATTTCAATTATATAATTTTATATTATTTTTAATGTAATTTTGTGTAATTTTGATATTTTTTACATTTTTACCTATTTATAAAACTAGGAAAAAAATTAAAAATGGAAGAAAAAAATGTAAAAACATATTAAAATAGCATATTATGTTATTTAAAATGATAAATATTTTTTTGTTTAAAATAAATGTTTGATATTTGTCATTTTAAATGATATTAGTTATGTCATTTTAGGAGAGAAATAAACATAAAGAATAAAAATCAAAAAAAAAAGTGAGTGATTTTTTTTAATTTAAATTTTAAATAAAAAAATTTTATTTTATATCTATCTCTATCTTAAAATCACTTAATTTTATATCTTTTAAAAACAAATATTTTTCTCTTAAAATAAAGGAGTTTTAACTTCTCATTCGATCGTAAAATTAAAATTTTTGCAACAGACTCATGGGGAGCCGTGATTTCCTTTTTTATTTTTTTTAATTAAATAATAAACTTCATTTCAAGATCTGTCTATAGCATAAAATCTCATTTTTTACTGCTGGATAAGAAGTGATTTCCCCTGAAATAAACCAACAATTTGACTTTCAAAACAGTGCACTTGCTATAAAAATCTCTGACAGGCTATTGCCATCCGCAGTTTCAGTACAAAAAATTCTTGTTTACATCTGAACTCTGATTGCTTGTTGGTTACTGCTAGGAGGGAAGGTATCATATCCAAAAGCATTCTGGTTTCTCACTGGTATGTATGTCATTCGTATGTTTCTCCATTTCTATTGTTACTGGGAAACTTCTTCAATTTCCATGTAATTTGAATTCTGTTGCTTTTTTTTTTTTTTTTTTTCTTTTCACGTAAACAAGTGATCGATGTGAATTTGTTAGTACCTTTGAGTATGCGCTCCTTCAGCATTTGATTATTTCTGGTCATACGTAGTCATAATGTTATTTTCTCAAACTCGGTTGGCTCCAGAATGCGAATATGTTGGTCGTTTCATTGTTGTCTGCTATTGATCTTAATTAGAAGTTTATAACATAAAAAGGGGTCCACTTGGTGCTTTTTATTGTTTCCTAATGAGTAGTTTACACAGATGTGATCTTACTTCTTGTAAACCATGGTCCATGGATACTGCTGGTAAAAATATTCTCAGTAGATCAGCCTAAATATTATATTTCAACCTTAAATTTGCAATTTTGCTTGACGAAATCATGGGGAGATTTTTTCTTGTTCTTTCTAATCAGTCATGTTGAGTAGCCACTAGCCATGAGTGACGAGAAGGAGTATCTGATTCTGATAGAATAAGTTTTCATCTGGACAGGTGTATAAGTTAAGGTAAAATTTCGAGGCTCGGCATGTTCAGGTTCTCTCCCCAGAGAAATCCAAGATCCAGAGGCTTCAAGGTGAAGCATGCTCTACAAATATGTGTTCTGCTTGGCGTTTGTGTCTGGCTGGCTTATCAAGTTGGACACTCTCGTGACGAGAAAGCATCCTATGGTGAAACTACAAAATCTGGCAGTGAGGTTGTCAAGTTAGGGAGGAAGGACCCCCATCCTTATGTGGGGCAATCTCCTGTCATAGAAGCAAGGAGCAAGGAGGAGGAGGATGAAGAAGAAAGCAAGCATGAAGAGCAAAACAAGCTAGACGATGTTAATGGTGTGGAAGATGAGATCCTGATGCAAAAGCGGGAGCAAAATAAGTATGATGAGAATTCTGTGCATAGACAGGATTCAGTATATCAAAACACTGATGAGAGGTCTGAAAATGCTACAGCCAACAAGGGAAGTGAGGAGCATGACCAAAACATTATTGAAGAGAATGACAATAAGGCCAACAAGGAGAGTGATATTGTAATGAAGGAGAATGAAGAAAACAAAAATGAGGGGGAGGGCAATGAAAGTAGAGAGATTAGTGAGGAAAAAAGTCAGCAAGAAAATGAAGAGACAAGAGAGACAAGGATGGACAATAAGGAGAATGAAGAGATCAACCAAAACAAAACTGAAGCGAAGGAACATGTGGAGGGAAATCATGAGGAAGTTAGTAAAAAAGATAACGAGGAGAGCAATGCAACACAAAATAAGAGAGAAGATAATGATATGATTAGGGAAGTGGTTTCATCTGAAGAACGAGTTCAGGATGGGAAAAGGAACAGTGAGGAGCCTAGAGAGGATCATTATGCCGAAGATAATAATGCCTATAGTGCTGTAGGTTTTAACAAGACACAACAATCTGACAAAACAGAAAAGATTGAATTGGTGGACTCTCAGACAAATGGTACTGAAGTAACTCATCTTGATCACAATGAGCCGGTGTCAATTGTAACAGAACCAGAAACTACAGAAGTGACTGATTCTGCTGTCACAACAACCAACCAAGGAAATGGTAGTGAGAATCAGGCTGAGACAAAGAATGATTCGCAGAAAAGTTCCATTATAGAGTCAGATGAGCAGCGGAATGATGGTGTGGAAACTCTTCACTTGCAGAATGGGACTGGCACAACATCTAATACAACTGAAAAACAGTTTAAACCATCAGAAAACTCCAACTCCAAGGTAGAGGACTCCAGCTTGCACAATACAACGCTAAAAACGGAAGATTCACAAGCTGATTCAACCTTTACAGATTCCTCAGGAGCTCACGAGAGCAATGTGACTAATGGGGGATATAAGGATACCTTTGCTAATTCTGCTCTGAGAGAAAATACCAACAACAATTCCATCCAAGAAGGTCTACCTGAAAAAATTTTATCTTCCAATTCAAATGGCAATAAAGATGCTAGCCAAGAGGTGCAACTCACTTCCTCTGATACATCATCAGAACCAAAGAAAGATGAATCCTTCAAGTCGGTGAATAGTACTGATTCTGGGCAGAATGACAGTGTGAACTATGTTCAGAGCAACACAAACAGCGATGGAAGTACTAATAGCAACATAGATGCAAGCCAAGTCAATTCCTCCGATAGTGATACTTCATCCCAACAAAACAGAGAGGCATCCTCAAGTTCAAAAGTTAGCGATAATGCTGGCCAGAATAACCCAAACCACAAGGAAAATGCAAATGACAATGGAAATGATAGCCATGATGAACTAGTCAATGCTTCTGATTCTTCCATTCCTGAACAGAAAGTTGCATACTCAAAGAATAATGATGATGCAGGGCAGGTTGAGAATGAGAAAACTGTTCAGAGCAAGACAAGTGAAAATGAAGATGGAGCTCAAAATGAATCAGTGGTATGGCAAAAAGAGAAAGAAGAATCAACACACTCAGATGGCCACAGCAGTTCTAAATTGAATGATCGAGGCAGTTCTGATTCTTCAAATCCCCAGGATGTCGAATAAATATAGGAACTTTTCCAGAAACAAATACAGCAATTAATCACAATGATGTTACTGCTACGGAGTGATAATTCAAATAAATTAATTGTATCATGCTTCTTCTTCTTCTTCCAATCCTACCCTCTTTTTCGTTTTTGTCGAGAGATGTAATGTTCTTTGCGTGGCCAATATGTATCAAGTTCTTGTTTTTTCTATTCTGTTGAACAGGTGTGACGTTCTTCGGCTTCTTGAAATTTGCTGTAAAAAGATTGTCCAAAAATGACATCATGTTTATTAACAGTGACATAAGGAATTTAGACAGATGAAGCATTTTATGCATAAATCATTTGACCACTATTCACGTTATTATAGACTTGCGCTACTTCTTTAAAGTATTTATTGAATGAACACCTTCGGCTTTTGACAATTTGCAAAAAATATGAAATGGGGAACAATGGGAAAGGATAAAAGAAAAACCTGCTTCCCTATTCGACATGGATAAGGCTGTTGTCAAGAGAACAAGATTGCTCCTGGAATAAGATCGAATCACTTGTTTCTTACATCATTTTGGATCTTCGACTTTTACTTCTTTTTTTCCCTCAACATCATTTTGTCTCATTAGGATATAAAACTACCACTAATAAGATGTGATCTGTGAGTTAAAAAAATCCGGATGAATTCAATTGCTAAGATCACTGAACAGCTAACATAAAACGACTATAGAGCTAAAATATAAAACGACTGTATCAGGATGAATTCAATTGCTAAGATCACTCGATGGTGCCTCTGCAGCTAACAGAAAACGACTGTAGAGCTAAAATATCTGTTGCACGCTAAAATAGCAGGTTGCTGGATAAAAGCAAAAGGAGAAAAAAATCTTGTAATTGATGTTCTTATTACGTATGCAGTAAATGAAACATACCCCATGGAAATTCCATATTACGGATGTGCATGAAAAAGAGAGAAATTCTTTCTGTGGATTCTATTCATTTGTCTTCTAGCTTAGACTGAAGGATTTAGACCCTTGACTCATACCGAGTGCTTTCTTGTAAGTCCTTCATTTTCTTGCCCATTCCCCAAATAGAGAGAAATTCTTTCTTTAGAAACCCCTTCCAAAGCACCCCCTTGAATTAAAGTCATTCGTTTGGATATGGGTATACTTGAAACTCTTTGTATCTTATGTGTGATGTGTTGTTTAAATTCAGAGAAAACTACACACTTATCCTTACATTGCATTCGAAAGGGGAAAAGGGAGAATAGAATTCATGTCAAACTCATAACTAATTGTTTGTGTATGGAAAGGAAAACTCACATGCAGTTCAAATGTAAATCCGATGAGGTTAAATCCATTAATTCGAACGCGACTTCAATATCGAATTCAACAATGGGATTTAAAACAAAAACAATTTCCTGAGAAATGAATAAACATTGCAACACGCTAGGAAACTAAAATTGAGGCGAATGCGTTTCCCCAGATAACAAATTGAGTTGAAAAGCACGCTTTGAAGTACATAAGTTTTAAAACATGAATGAGAGCAAACTAGATCAATTTCATAAACATATACACACCGACCGTTTCCCACATTCATGTATCCAAAATAAATAAATAAATAAATAAATAAATATCATTAAATAAATATCAATTTCATTAATGATGCCGAAAGCGCATAGAAAAGTGGCTAAACAGAAAGTTAGGATTTCATAGGAGAGTAACCCTCCGGTTCTCAATTTCTAATTCTCAAATTACAAAATTCAACTCCTAAAATAAGGGTCATGAGCACCCTTTTATAGACTAATTACAAATTGATTCAAAATTCAAAAATCTAAAATTTTAAAAATAATAAAACTTACTAAAATAAATAAGAGTAATTAACATCTAAAAAATAAATAAAAAATTACAAATAAATAATTCAAAATACATCTCAAATCTTTAATCTCAAATCACGCCAAATATGTTATTTTCCTTTTCTTCCCAAACAAATCACAATCACATTTGAGACTTGTATTTGATTGTAATTTGTTATATTTTAAATCATTGCCTTTTACAACAATTGGGCCATATTTATTAGGCCACAACTCTAGTTGACTACGAGCTTCTTCAATCAATGGTTGAGCCATGTACAATGGGCCAACTGTAAGTGCATCATTCTCCTCTGCTAGGAAAAGATTCGTCCTCGAATCTTATTTATCTCCACTGATATCAATTTTTTTGGACAAAAACTCAAATGATAAATCTTCCTCTTTTAAGTCTTCATAATTTGATTCTCCATCAGATTTATCATAGACTGGATTATCATAATAAAATGAATGTTCATCATAAGATGGATAATCATCATAAATGGGATAATTATCAACAATCGGATAATTATCAACAATCGGGCAATCATCATAAATTGGATTATCATCATAGATCGGTTCATCATCATAGATTGGATCATCATCACAAACTGGATTATGATCATAGACATGAAAGTCACGAATCCTGATTTGCATCTCGATATCTTGAAAAGTGGACTGATTTCCAGGTCGTACTTTCCAATTCTGTCCTTGGTTTAGAATCCCCACGGGATTAACGTCCTCTTCTTCGTCATCAGATGCGTCATCTAATTCCATTCCTTCTTCGGATTGAATGCCCAACTTTGTCCACTGATGCTCTCCGGCAAGTATATCGATCGCACAAGTAATATAATGTGTAAGTAAAGTATCGTCTCCACAGGGATTGTAAACCAAGTACTACAATAACCAGTCCCCTTAAGTTGGAAAACTCGGGTTTTTTGTTGGAAAAATTGCGAAATGATTTTTTAGTAACAATAAGAAATAAAAGTAAAGACTTGTTTTTATATATTTTTATTTAAGAGAAATGAAACAATAAAAACGAGAATTGATTTGTAAAAATGAGAAAAATATTGTAGCTAGAGCGCACTCACCTTATGATCCTCACTTCTTACTTTGGATTGATTTACAACATTAATTTATAAAATTACTCGGATAAATTATTATCTAAAATAATTTAGTTAAATCCCAATCCCTTGTCAATTTAACCCTTTAATCCCCATTTGGAATCCTAAACCCTTAGCGACCCCTCATGAAAATTAAGCGATGAACTCTATAATTTAGGCATCCGCAATTCAATACACATCTATTCCTAGCATGCATACGAACCGTTATCCTACCCCCTTTCAGGATGAAAACCCCAATATCTCTATCTAGGGTTCTAACCCTCAGACTATTATCAACTATTAGAGTGATCAATTCTAATAAAGAAAATATCAAATACGAACAAGGTAGAGATAAAGATAATTATATAAACGAGCAATTATAAATCAATCCGCGTAACAAGGGTTCACATAGGGTTTGTGACCCTAACTACAATAAAAGAAAACTAGCCAAGCATAATCATGGCTAAAAATAATCCAATATTCAAAAGCATAAAATTAAGAAGAAAAGAGAAGAAGTCTGAATCCCTAATTCTGTGAAAAGGATCCTATTTATATGACTCTTTTCCTTCTTCCAAAAATACCCCCGAGATAACACGGTACTTCTATCCCGCAACCCGGCGCACGTTTGCGCCAACATCCTGCCCAATGTATGCTGCAATTCGGAACCAATTCCTGTGACTCGACGCCACTTGGCGCCATTCTTCATCTTTTGGGCGCCACTTGGCGCCAATTTCCTTCTTTGTGGGCGCCTAGTGGCGCCATGGTGCTAGGAGGCGCCATTTGCTTCATGATTGGGCGCCTAGTGGCGCCATGCACAAGGTCTCCACTGCAAAGTTCGCAATCTGGCGCTGGTTTGCGCCAGTGTGGTGCCAACATGCGCCAAATCTCTGGCATTTATACTGTGATACATTTGTACGTGTGGAGTCGTGTCAACAGGCTTTTTATAATTTGTAATTATCACTCCTCTTTTTCCTGTAAAAACACAACCAAAAGATGAATATTATTGACATAGAAAGAATCAATATAAATAGCAAATATGTATTTAAATTGCTCTCTTATGATTCAATTCTTATCAATTTTAACATGGAAAAATCACACTTGCCAGAGGCACATCAAATCATTCTCAGATTTAAACGTTGTTGTCGCCAGCAATGTACAAGACTCAATCCAGGAAACAATCAATTATTCCAACACAACATCACACAAACAATCAAGAGACCATTATGCTAAGCATGACTGAATCAATGCAAAGAACTCCTAACAATGCCTTCTATTCTCATGAACATGTCAGAATCTAGCTTGAACACCCCTCACCAAGATAATCATATAACGCTCAGCACTCAAGTGTTTAAGGGAGTAACAAACACTCAATCCATCACAGCAATAACATTACCATAAGCTTGATCATATTCTCAAGTTCCTAAAGATGAGGAACATTAACACATGCATAATTGATCAAAAGGACTTCACAGGTTGTAACTTGACCAGGCTTAAGGGTAGGAATTTATGGTTAGTAGCTCAAACAACAATGAGATTGAAAAACTGGTATTATTTCATTTTTAACACATTCAACTCAATGATTTTTGCTCCACTCAGATTCCCACAGAATTTTGGGAATTAATTCCTATCAACCACTTTTTCTTTACATTCATCCTTTTTCTTTTTCTTGCTTTTTCTTTTCTTTTCTTTTCTTTTCTTTTTCTCCCTTTTGTTTTAAGGGCTCAGATGAAATTCTACCTCCCCTAATTACTTGACCTTTGTGGAGCTTACCTCAATTTCTTTGTTTAATTTTTCAACACATCAGTAATTCAATCTCAATTAAGGTAAGTCACATGGATATAGGCTAAGCCATCAATCAGGAATTATGAACAAAAAGGCTCAGGCTCAAAGGGGTTAGCAATGAAAAAATTCATATAGGTGGGTTATTTTTTGCCAATAGCTAACAAGAACAAAATGCCTTTATCATATCAACCAATGCATGCATCTCAGAGAAATAGAGCAAGTTCTAGTATGCTATCACAATGAGGTCTCTCAGAATAAAATAAGTGTTTAAGCACAAAACCTCACCAGCTACGATGTCAAGCT